TCCCATTTATCTTTAGAGTGAAACAGAGGAGAGAGAGAGAGAGAGAGAGACATTGATGTGAGAGACACATTGATTTGTTGCCTCCCATACAACCCCGACCAGGACCGGGGATGAACTGCAACCGAGGTACGTGCCCTTGACTGGAATCAAACCCACTACTCTTTGGTCCTTGGGACAATGCTCTAACTGCTGAGCCAAACCAGCCAGGACCAGAAAAATTCTTTATGCAGTAAAGTGCCAGTTTTGCAGGTCACAGGGCAGCAATGCCTCCACCCACTATATGCCAGTAGCACTCCCAGTTTGGGTGGTAACTCAACACACCCTCACAGATTTTCTTAAAAAATTTTTTTTCTTTATTGATTTTAGAGAGAGAGGAAGGGAGAAGGATAGAGAGTTAGAAACATTGATGAGAGAGAACATCCATTGGCCACCTCCTGCATGCCCCCCACTGGAGATCAGGCCCACAAACTGGGCACGTGCCCTGACTGAGACTCAAACCAGCGACCTCTTGGTGCATAGACTGACACTCAACCAGTGAGCCACACCGGCCAGGCGGACCCTTGTAGATTTTCAAGACACCTCCATTGAGAGCCATTACTCTAGTGGTCTCAGCAACCAACTCTGTTATGTATAAAATGGGATTAGCAACAACTCAGAGGAGTTCAGTGAGAATCGGATAATGAATATGCAAGTACTTTGAAAACCATAAAGCACTGCAGAGAGGTGAGGTTGAGGTGCCTTTTGTATAGGGCGTGAACTTACATTTAATAGCCACACCATTTTCCTCCTCAGACCCTGATGAAACTCCATGCAACCCAACCCCTGAGAGCTACCTTATCCGGTTGCCTCATGATTGCTTCCAGAATGCCACCAACTCCTTCTACTATGATGTGGGCCGTTGCCCTGTCAAGACCTGTGCAGGGCAGCAGGATAATGGGGTCAGGTGCCGGGATGCTGTGGAGAACTGCTGTGGCATCTCCAAAACAGAGGAGAGGGAGATCCAGTGCAGTGGGTACACACTGCCCACCAAGGTGGCTAAGGAGTGTAACTGCCAGCGGTGTACAGAGACCCGGAGTATTGTGCGGGGCCGTGTCAGTGCTGCTGACAATGGGGAACCCATGCGCTTTGGCCACGTGTACATGGGGAGAAACCGTGTGAGCATGACTGGCTACAAGGGCACTTTCACCCTCCACATCCCCCAGGACACTGAGAGGCTGGTGCTCACATTTGTGGACAGGCTGCAGAAGTTCGTCAACACCACCAAAGTGCTGCCCTTCAACAAGAAGGGAAGTGCAGTGTTTCATGAGATCAAGATGCTTCGGAGGAAAGAGCCCATCACCTTGGAGGCCACAGAGACCAACATTATCCCCCTGGGGGAGGTGGATGGTGAAGACCCTGTGGCTGAGCTGGAGATCCCATCCAAGAGTTTCTACAAACAGAATGGGGAGCCCTACACAGGAAAAGTAAAGGCCAGTGTGACCTTCTTGGATCCCCGCAATATTTCCACAGCCACAGCAACCCAGAGTGACCTGAACTTCATCAATGATGATGGAGACACCTTCCCACTTCGGACATATGGCATGTTTTCTGTGGACTTCAGAGATGAGGCCACCTCTGAGTCGCTTAATGTCGGTAAGGTGAAGGTTCATCTTGACTCGACCCAGGTCAAGATGCCAGAGCATGTGCCCACGATGAAACTCTGGTCGCTCAACCCAGACACAGGGCTGTGGGAAGAGGAAGGTGACTTCAAATTTGAAAGCCAAAGGCGGAACAAAAGGGAAGAGAGAACCTTCCTAGTGGGCAACATGGAGATCCGAGAGAGGAGGCTTTTTAACCTGGATGTCCCTGAAAGCAGGAGGTGCTTTATCAAGGTGAGGGCCTACAGGAGTGAGAGGTTCTTGCCCAGTGAGCAGATCCAGGGGGTCGTGGTGTCTGTGATCAACCTGGAGCCCAGGACTGGCTTCTCATCCAACCCCAGGGCCTGGGGCCGCTTTGACAGTGTCATCACGGGCCCCAATGGGGCCTGTCTGCCTGCTTTCTGCGATGACCAGTCCCCTGATGCCTATTCTGCCTATGTCTTGGCAAGCCTGGCTGGGGAAGAACTGGAAGCAGTGGCTTCTTCTCCTAAATTCAACCCAAATGCAATTGGTGTCCCTCAGCCCTACCTCAACAAACTTAAGTACCGTCGGACAGACCACGAGGACCCACGGGTTAAGAAGACAGCTTTCCAGATCAGCATGGCCAAGCCAAGGCCCAACTCAGCTGAGGAGAGCAATGGGCCCATCTATGCCTTTGAGAACCTCCGGGCATGCGAAGAGGCACCGCCCAGTGCAGCCCACTTCCGGTTTTACCAGATTGAGGGGGATCGGTATGACTATAACACTGTCCCCTTCAATGAGGATGACCCCATGAGCTGGACTGAAGACTACTTGGCATGGTGGCCCAAGCCAATGGAGTTTAGGGCCTGCTACATTAAAGTGAAGATTGTGGGGCCAATAGAGGTGAATGTGCGATCCCGCAACATGGGGGGCACCCACCGGCAGACTGTGGGGAAGTTGTATGGAATCCGGGATGTGAAAAGCACACGGGATAGGGACCAGACCAATGTCTCATCTGCTTGTTTGGAGTTCAAGTGCAGTGGGATGCTCTATGACCAGGATCGTGTGGACCGCACACTAGTGAAGATAATCCCCCAAGGCAGCTGCCATCGAGCCAGTGTAAACTCCATGCTGCATGAGTACCTGGTCAACCACCTACCAATGGCAGTCAACAACGACACCAGTGAGTACACCATGCTGGCGCCCCTGGATCCACTGGGCCACAACTATGGAATCTACACTGTCACTGACCAGGACCCTCGCGTGGCCAAGGAGATTGCACTTGGCCGGTGCTTTGATGGCACATCTGATGGCACCTCCAGAATCATGAAGAGCAACGTGGGAGTGGCCCTCACCTTTAACTGCATAGAGAGGCAGGTGGGTCGCCAGAGTGCCTTCCAGTATCTCCAAAGTACCCCAGTCCGGTCCTCTGCCCCCAGCACTGTCAGAGGAAGAGTGCCCCCCAGGAGGCAGCAGCGGGCAAGTAGGGGTGGCCAGCGCAGGCCTGGAGGGATGACCTCTCTGAGGTTTCCTAGGGTTGCTCAGCAGCCTCTGAACAACTAAGTCTTGTGGTACCTCTCTTCTCCCACCACCTCACGTGACAGCCATTGTGAGACTGACGCACAAACTGTCACTCGGTTAATTTAAGCACATCTGTTCTGGTGCAATTCGCTTGTTTGTTTCTTCATGACTTTACTTACTGTCTTTGTCTCGTGATACTGTTTGGCACTTAGCCCCCCCAAATGGCAAAACAAAGCCTCTTTGATCTGTTCTTTAAAAGAAACACCAGAAATTGGCCATTGGCAAACTGTGGCTTTGACTGTTCTTCATTTAGTGCCATCAATGGAAATGCCCTTCCTTTTCTTTTTGCATGGTTTTGCCCACCTTTATGATAATGATAATCTAAAGTTGAAGATCAACTAACCAATATAAAGCATATTTCCTGGTCTTGCTCCACAGGACGTAAGCAAGGTCTTCATCACAGTTCATACATTTAAATGGTGGTGAAATAAAATAATAAACTCCAATATTTTTATTTGAAATGTAAATAAGTTATTTCTTTACTGGCTCTGGAACGCTAGTGCACATTTCATGTGAAGCTATTGAATATAGGGTAATCATAGTTCTCCACCAAGTCTCATCTCATATCCACAACTACACCAGGTTGCTAATTACATTAGCATGTTTCTCTTTACATTTGCTTTGTTCTTGCTAGAAGCCCAGTGCAGCCCAGAGCAGATGTCAATAAATGAACATTTTGTACTTGATTTTGAGACCACTGTCTTTTAACCATTAAAGTGAGCCAGCTGCTCAGGGAGACATAGGGGACTCTGGAAAGTGATCACAAGGTATCATGAGCCACTGCCCCCTCTAAGTGACAGGGTTGGGGAATTTGACACACACTCCATGGTCAAGTTTGTTTTCATGGATCATATTTTCCACTCTCAGAAAAGGGCAGAGATTCCTGGAGCTGTGAGCATGTTCTGGGCTCCTGAGCAAAGCTAAATACATGTCCCAATTTTTTCTTTCTTTCTTTCTTTCCAATACTGAGAAACTTATACAATGGCCTGGCCCAGGGTCTGGTAAGCTGTCCAAGTGGTCTTTCGGCAACCCCCCACAGCCTGCTGCCTTCTCCAGCTGGGCTGGCTGACCTCACTCAGAAAGGATGGGCTTTCTCTTTTCTTTTTTTCCAATCTCTTCTGAAGATACCCAGCTTTTCCAGATACCTGATCTCTAGTGTGTGTGACAGCCCCTGTTTCTTGAGTAAAACAACTGATCCAAATGAATAGGGTTCTGTTTTTCGAAAAGGTGTTTGGTTCAAAATAGTAAATCAGAGGCTGGTGGATGGTTCCGGAGTGATCTTGGAGGCATCAACAGTCAGGGCAGTGGTGTGTGGGGTTGGGTAAGATGCACCAACTGCCCCTCTCCCAACCCCTCCAGAATCTGTCAGTAAAGAGGCTATGGGGATTGGGAGAGGAGAAGGCATTATTTAGAATCAGGACAAAAAGCTTTCCTTGATCCCCTGGCTGGCCCAGTACAGCTCCTTTTGGCCACCTCAGGCCTGGACTGGATTTACTCTTGGATCAGCATCTGCCCAACTCCCAGGGGATTGGTTCATAATCAAATTTCTCTGGCTGAGCAGCCCTTCCCCATGAACTCTGAGAAAGTGAGCCCATGCAGGGTTGGGCCTAGTGGCCTTGTGATTGATCGCTCCTCGACTCACTTCCAGACTACACTTCCCAGGGAGCAGCTCTCACTGACTGCTTGGGGGTGGGGCTTGACTGACCCTGCCGAGGGGTCAGTGTTTAGCCACTTGCAGCACAGGTACCTTACTGCTTCAGGGGGCCAGTGTGTGCAGCTTCAACCTGACCACCCAGTTCCCTTCTAATTCACCAAGAGGGGTGCTGGGAAAGGTGATCTGGCCAGGCTCCTGCCCATGCCCTTCCCTTTCTGTTCTTCACTGAGGGTCTGAATAAATGGATTCCAGCAGATGGCAGCTGGTACCTGACTTTTTTCTTCACTCTTCAAACATTTATTGAGTACCTACTCTATGCCAAGCTATATGTGCAAGTGGACTGGACTTTATGAGTATATAAAATATACTATCCATAGTGGCACTGTGACTTGGGGTGGTAGCCAGAGGAGCCTTCTGGGAGGAGGTGACAATTTGAGGTCTGAATGATAGCTAGGAGCTGAAGGGGTGGCTGTCAGGAGCAAGAAACACAAGCACAGAACAACTTGGAGGCTGGGAGGGAATGGCAGATACTTCTCTTTCAGATGAAGAAACACTGTTGAGCTCATGACATCTAATTTCTAAGCTCTTGCTTCCCAAGACAGATGTGCTGCCTGCTAGCTGCATGACTTTGGTCAAGTCGGTTTCCCTGAACCTCATTTTCCTCACCTATAAATGAAGGAGTTGGTTGTACACCTATAACTACTATAATGTTAGAGGTGGAGGAGGGTATAGGGGGATAAATGGTATTGGGAAAAAAATAAAGGAAAAAACCCTAATATAATGTTGTAAGTTAATTATATCTCAATAGATAGATAAATTTTTGTTTTTAAATGAAGGAGTTGGTCTAGATCAGAATCTAAACCATCTCTAGTCCTTTCCATGATTTTTAGTGAGGCTAAGAGCACAGTTCCCAGGATGCCTTTGCTTCACCAAACTGCGGATGATTCACCGGGTGTTCCCTTCCCCTGTGGAGACTCTGCACACTGGATGGACAAAACGTTCATTTCAGAAAAGCCCTGGGGTTTCGGTCTCAGCCTGTTGTATACTGGCTGGTCAGCCCGTTACTGAGAGTGAACTGTATGAGGATGGACACCAGATGGCAGGGAGGAAGGGCACAGGGAGAAAGATCGAAGGATCAATCAGGCTGCTTCTGCTCCCAACAAAGGAAGTTTTCCAAGCCAAATGCTCTCTATAGTTTGCAGAGTTCTAGCAGCTAGGGTGATAGAGGAAAATGTCAGTGAGATGTCAGGACAAGAACAGTCTTGAAAGATTGAGGAAACGTAGACAAGCCAAGTTGGAGGCAGTGCATGGTGGTTTCCAGCACAGGAATTGGCTAGAGCCGAGGTGTAGAGGGGGGACTGCACACTGGAAGGCTTTTGTTTACAAGTAACTGGGGTGCCAGCAGACATCAGGAAAGACTAGACCCAGAAACAGCAAAGCCATAGAATTCAGGCCACCACTGTCTTTGGTTTTGATTCTCTTATTCTCTCATACTCAGTGGTTTTTGCTCTCTTTCAACCTCTAACTCAGTTTTGCTCTACATGCTCGATTTCTCAGATTGACTCTCTGACTCTGTTTCACTCTCCTCATTGTAGGTCTCTCTCTGCTCAGTCTATATCTCAGTTTCTTCTCCTTGTAGGAACCCTTAGTTTTTCTCTGCAGATCAGCTTTCTCTGCTCCCCGCCTAGGTTCATAAAAGAGGTGACCATTTCCTCAAGTCAAAGAAGAGCCCTGTCCTAAGCCCAAATTCCTTGGAGAGAGAATCTGATTAACTCAGTTTTTGTTTTTTGTTTTTTTTTTTTATCCTCACCCGAGGACACTTTTTTTTTTTTTGTTCAGGTAGAGTGGGAGGGAGAGAGAGGAAGAGAGAGAGAGAAAGAGAGAGAAACATCGATGTGAAAGAGACACATCGAGTGGCTGCCACCCGCACGACCGGGGACAAACTGCAACCAAGGTACGTGCCCTTAGCGGGAACCGAACCCGGGTCTCTCGAAACCGCAGGCTGATGCTCTAACCGCTGAGCCAAACCGGCCAGGGCTGATTGGCTCAGTTTGAAATGGAGCTCTACCTTTGGTCTAACCAACTGTGGCTATAGTGGGGGCATGGGGCGTAAAGGGCAGTCCTATTAGTCATGGTTGCAGGGGAGGTGGGGCACTTCTCAGAGAAAGGGAATTATAGTGAATTGGGGAGACACCCCAAAAGGTGAGTACTTCAGGGGACAGTGAGCAGATCATTGTGAGCTTACTGGAAGCTTAGGGTTTTTTATTTCCAAACACCAAGGGATTTTAAATACAGCAAATGAGATCTGTGTGGTACTTGTTCTTTGAAATCTTGCTTCATGACTTAGTACTTGGTCAGATTTTGTAGTTTCCATGTGCGATTGAAAAAAATAAAAAAGTGTATTTCCTAATCATTGGGTGCAGGTTTCTACATAAGACCTTTAACTCAAACTTGTTCATTGTTCAGTTCAGTAAATAAAGAGTGTGTTGAAATTATCCACTAGATGATACACTTGTCCATTTCTCTCTGCGATTCCTCAATTTGGCTTTTATATATTTTGAGGTTATTTTAATGGATGCCTATTATGTATTAAATTTTCATGCCTTTTTGTGAGTTGAATCTTTTATTGTTATATGTATAATTATGTAATTTGTTCTCATAATACTTTTTTTTGTCTTAAAGCCTATTTTGTATGATATATCTCCCAACTTTCTTTTGGTTAGTATTTGCTCAGTATATCTTTTTAAATATTTTTGCTTTTAACCTTATGTGTCTTTTTTTGTTAGTTTATTTTGTTCGTTAGATTCCACATATGAGATCAATTGGTATTTGCCTTTCTCTGACTGGCTTATTTCACTTAGCGTAATACTCTTCAGGTTCATACATGCAGTCACAAAGGGTAGTATTTCTTTCTTTTTTCTTTTCTTTTCTTTTTATGGCCAAATAGTACTCCATTGTGTAAATGTCCAATAGCTGTTTTATCTATTCACCTACTGATGGGCACTTAGGCTGCTTCCAGATCTTGGCTATTGTAAATAATGCTGCAATGAACATGGCGGTACATGTATTCTTTCGAATTAGTGTTGTGGGTTTCTTCAAATATATTCCCAGAAGTGGAATCACTGGGGCTTCGTGTCTTTTTAAAATGTGGTCTTTTTTGTAAAGAGCACATAGCTGGATTTTAGTTTATTTAATCTAACAAACTGTCTTTTAACTAGCGAGTCAAGTAAATACATATGGTGATTAGTTGTTTTTGGATTTGTTTTTATCATCTTACTTGTTGGGTTCTTTTTTTATTTTATGTATTTATGTATTTATTTATTTATTTACTTATTTATTTTTTTATCCTCACCCGAGGACATTTTTCCATTTTTTTGTTCAGATAGAGTGGGAGGGAGAGAGAGGAAGAGAGAGAGAGAGAAACATCGACGTGAAAGGGACACATTGAGTGGCTGCCACCCGCACGACCCAACCAGGGCCGGGGACAAACTGCAACCGAGGTACATGCCCTTATTGGGAACCGAACCTGGGTCTCTTGGGACCATAGGCCGACGCTCTAATCGCTGAGCCAAACTGGCCAGGGCGGGTTCTTTTTTAAAATCACCTTTTCTCTTTTACTATTAGTTTTAAGGTTGAGTAATATTTTCCTTATTCAATTTTTTCCCCTTATATTGACCTGGGAGTTTTATACTTTTTCTATTCTTTTAGTGTTTTCTCTTGAATTCTTTTATACAAACTGATTTTAACAAAATCAAAGTTAAATTGTATCTCGAGCCCTGGCCGGTGTGGCTCTGTTGGTTGAGTGTCATCCCATGCACCAAGAAGTCACCATTTTGATTCCCAGTCAGGGCACATGACTGGGTTGTGGGCTAGATCCCAAACAGGACTCTCTGGTCTGCAGGTCAATGTTCCAACCGCTGAGCCAAACTGGCCAGGGCTAGACCTTGCTGTTAATGTCATTTTTCTTCTTCCTGAAGAATATCTTTTAGAAAGTATTTTAGTGAAGGCCTGTTGTTGGTAGAACTATCTGGTTTTAAAAATTGGAATATAATTCACATACCATAAAATTCACTATTTTATTAAAAAAAAATTTTTTTTCCCTTTATTGATTTTAGAGAGGGGAAGGGAGAAGGAGAGAGAGATAGAAACATCGATGAGTGAGAACATCAATTGGCCGCCTTCTGCATGCCCCCCACTAGGGATCAGGCCTCCAACCTGGGCATGTGCCCTGACTGGGAATCGAACCGGCGACCTTCTGGTGCATGGGTCAACGCCCAACCACTGAGCCACACCAGCCAGGCAAAATTTACCATTTTAAAGTGTACAGTTTAATAGCTCTTAGTATATTCACAAACTTAGTATATAAAGATTACCATCACTTTATATTTCCAGAACATTTTCATCCCAGGAAGAAATCCCATACCCATCAGTAGTCATCCCCTATCCCTCTTCACCCAACCCCCTGGCAACTACTTTGTCTTTATGGATTAGCCTATTCTGGACATTTCATATAAATGCAATCATACAATATGTGGTCTTTTATGTCTGGCTTCCTTCACTTAGCATGTTCTCAAGGTTCATTCGTATTATAGCATGTATCAATATTCCATTACTTTTTATGGTTGAATGATATTCTATTGTATAGACATACCAAATTTAATCTATTAATCGGCTGAACATTTGAGCTGTGTCCACCTTTTGCCTATTTCAAATAATGCCAGTATGAACATTCATGTACATGTTTTCATATGAACATATCTTTTCAGTTCTGTTAGGTATATATCCAGGAGTAGAATTGCTAGCTCATGTAGTAACTCTATGTTTAAATTTTGAAGAACTACCAAATTGTTTTCCACAGCAGCTGCCCCATCTTACATTCCTATCAGCACTATATATGAGGGTTCTAAGTTCTCCTTGTCCTGGCCAACACTTGACATTTCTGCTATTTTAAGTTATAGCCATTTAGTAAGTGACTAAGGCTGAAGGGAAGATGAGAGCTCTAAGGAAATAAATGAGAAATAAAGCTAACTCAGTTTCAGAAACGGTAGACACACTGGAAGAGAAGGAAAGGGAAGGGGAGAGGGGGAGGGAAGAGCAGGGAAGGGCAGGGAAAGGAAGGGAAGGGAAGGGAAAAGTAAGCAACTTTAGTGATGCAAGGAAAGAAAAC